TGTTGTTTCTTTCACGATGTATACCTTGTTATATACAAATAAAATAAAGAAATAATGTTTACCTACTTTAAAAAAAAAAAAAAAAAAGATATTATATATTTTTGATAAATAAAGTAATTATATAAATTTTTACAATTGGTCTATTAAAAATTATCTTTTTTATTATTACATACAGTTGAACCAATTATTTAATTTTTACTCTTTTAAGTATTACTTAAAAACATTCAAAATAGACTTATAATTTGTATAAAATAAATTAAAAACTTTGAATATAAATGATTTTTTGATTTTTTGAATATTTTTATTAGTTATTAAGAAGGCTTTTAAATTTAATAATAATAATTATTAATAAAATTACAAAATTTAAAATGTTATAAAAGTTTATTTTTGTCAAATTACATAATATCAAATGATTTTATATTTATTTATTGCCATTATACTGAATTTTTATATAAAATAAATTAAAATTAAATGTCAAATGACATACTATAAATTAGATCAAACAATAAATTAAAAGTTGGATGTAATTTGACAGCTGAATAATATAATTTGGACTAGTGTAATAATTAAACAATAAAACATATTTCAATATTTTTTTCTAAATATCTTGTATTAGAACATTTAAATATGTCATGTATACGATTTAGTTTGTTGCTTCAAATTAAATTTTATAAATTTATAAATTTAAATGTTTCAAGCGTGCATAGCAATTGTTGTATCATATATTGCACTTTTAAAATTTCAAATATATAGAGTAATTTAGTATAATAATGATAATATTTTTATTTTATTATATATTTATATAATGTTACATATACTGTACATATAACAAAATATAAAATTTAAGATTTTATACACAGTATGATATTTGATATTTCTTTGCAATGTTGAAAAATTTTTTTTTTCAAATGCGTACGTATTTTCTCGGATCTCTAAAGTTTTGTTCTTACAACCGGAATCATGAAATCATATCACAAAATGTCTGAGTAGATTATTGGTGGCAAAAAAATGAATTGGAGAAAATAAATCCTTTCGACAATTAAGAATTTGAGTACATTCCTACTTCTGATTTATTTACATTTCTATTATGGAGGAGGTACTATTGCTTCTTGTTCGCTACTTGCCAACAATGTTTGTATGAGAAATTGCAGTTTATATGCTTGTTCTAGAAGATTTGTAAGATGTGTTCGTTGTGTTTCTGATTCCTATTTAATTATAAAAGCGATTAAAAAATAAACTGGAAATGGTCGGAATGTAATGTGAAAAGTTATATGCCTGAAGAAGCGAACTACGCGTATTTATTAATTCGACTATTATAGGATCTGAATTAGGATCATATGTATCCATATTATCTTCCTAAATGATATAATAATCTTTAGATGGTTGACAAAAATAAAACAAAAAAGATAAAAAAATCATACCTTTATCTTCCCAAGCTTCTCCTCCTGGATATTATCAATATTATCCACCAAAACCTTCAATTCTTCAGAAACATTTTTGTACTTTTCGTGAGATTCTGCAATCTCCCGTCGAATAGCTTCCTCAGTGTTATCATTTGAGTAGGAGTATCTTGACAGAGAAGTAAAAATTTCGCCAGAAGTCTCTAAAAGCCTATTAAGAGTTGACAGGCCTTCTATGGCCAAGCTTTCTAGTGGAGTGGAAGTGGAATCCATCTAAGGGTAAAATTTCGATGGTAGTTAATTCATAACAGATCCCAAATCATGTGAGTGTCATGTGATAGATGTTAATGGCAAATTAATAATTATCGACAATGCACGTTGTATAATTCATTATGATTATTTGTATATACAGTGTTTTTTTTTTTTAAAAAAAAAAAAATTGCATTCGCATCGACTCACATAAAACACGCAAGCGTGCATAACCCTGATATAAATTGAGTAGGCCTGGAATCAAATCCCAGAACTGTTAAGAACCTTAATTTTTTTTTTGCAGGGACCAAACAATAGAACCAATTACAATAGAATGTATGAGTGATTGCATAACTGTAAAAAATAACATAGTAAAAATGAATATGTTTAGAAGTTATTTAATTTTTTTAAAAGTAAAAAAAAAAAAATTATATAATTTCATCTTATTTGATAATTGCAAATATTCTGGCGAAGAGAGCAATTAAAAAAGTAATAAATATAATTAAATGGTGAATTAGTTGTTACGGTATTATTGTGAATAATTTTTTGTTTATATAAAAAAATAGATATATTGTATATACACTATAAAATTCAAGATATTTGTGTTATTATTAATATAAGATTACTAAGATTATTACTCGTTTTGTGAAACTCTAAAATAAGCAATGTGACAATGGTGACAAGTAGGTTTCCAATTTTCCGTTATAGTCATCGTACAGCAATCATTTTTAAGGTTATTACAGTTGCTAGTTAAGGGCACTTACATCCTTAAACTTTCTCGAAAAACTTGAACAAAAAAAAAAGATGTGTTCGATTTGCTTTTACGATACAAAGCACATGGGATGATTGTCAATGATAATTTGTCAAACTTATTTTTCCCGGGATGAGTGGCAGCACAACGCATTGTTGACAAGTGTCAATAAATAGTCAATTTTCTCAAGATTGCTTTATCCGTGTTACCGATGCACATTGACCTGAACAATAAGTCATGCAAACTAAAAAGACCATCCAGCACGGGTAAGTTATTGTAATCAAGACGCAATTAATCAATAATATTTGTTCGAATCATTTTAGAGATACGAAACACGCTTTGATTTTCCGAATTGACAGTTTGTATACAATGTCAAATTCAAGATCTACAATTCCATATATGGGACAAGTATTGCGGTGGGGTAAAATCCCACTTTTTCGGATAAATGATTGGACACAACATACAGTTTCCACGGAAAATTCAATGGTTGCAATTAGAAAAATCATGCTATTATTAAATGAAATATTTACAAAAAGCGTCACTATTAAGAATGAGCTTGTTGGGTGTGCATATTATTGTACATAGTAGTAGTACTACTACAAAGAAAAGGAAAACCTACATTGCATACGAGATTTTAACCTTCATAAAAAAAGATAATGTAGGTCGAATTGGTGTCAAATTTTTTCATAATTAAACTCTCACAAAAAAAGGAATCATATTTTTTTTCCCTCATCATACGGAAATCTTTGACTTCCATAGAGATGATTAGAGATGGTTAAGTTCCAACGAAATGGAATAGGAAAGGAAAAAAGTGGAAATACGAAGATACGAAGGTAAAGGTTAAAAACAAAAAAACAAAAAAAAACGTATTACTGGTGAGATGGGTGAGTCGGAAGGCGAAGGAAATCGGGTGTGTGGAAAAATTACGAAGGTATATACGATTTATATATATACATACATACAAAATAACAAACGAATTGATTTTTACAGAAGAAAAAAAAAAAGAATATATAATTAATAAAGAAGAGAAGAGAAATCATAGATTTCTCTATTTTTAAGATCTAATGGATTAAGATTGGAGAGTAGGGTATTGATATATTTAATATATGTGCATAAAGATGAAAAGGAGAAGTGAGGAAAGATTGTGTTAAGGACCAAAAAGAATAACCCCCAAAACGTGTGTAAAATTTTAAATATATGACGAAGAAAGTAAACATAAATGTCCAACACGTCATCATCATCATATCTTTTTTTTTTAATTTTCACTTTCGCAACTCCGATCTTTGCTTTCCAAGAGCCACTTTAACTGAGGTGGATGAGATTGAGAAAAGGGACTAGTTGGAAAGCTCATGGCGCTGGCAGAGGATAGGTAATGTTCATTCTGTGTTAAATTCCATTGTGATTCGGGAAGCGGTAAACTGGGACATACGCGCGTATTTCGCGTGAGATCCTCGCAATCTGAAAACGGAGGGTACAATGACGAGGATGTAGATGGACTTTGAGGCATAATATGTCTAGGAGGAAGAATCATACATATACGCTTTCCTGTCTTTTGAGTGACCAAGTATCTTCCATTGTTATTTGGTATTTGCGTTTGTGTTCTCGCGCTATTTAAATCGAAATCATCTACTGTGACAGGTGGTTCGCAAAAACATATGTCCCCGTCTTTTTCACAGAATAACGGTGGATTGATTATATCCTCGGCCGATATGGAGGAACTTGATGATGAATTTGAATCACTTCGGGACTGATGGCGTTGATGGGTATATTTTTCCTTATTGAAATCAAACGACGATAGATACGAAGGTAGACCTCGCGATTGATAACTAATGTTTTCGAGTGGTAAGAGTGTCGTGTAATGTTTAGGTGAAGTGGACGACAAACATTGTTGGTATGAAGGTGAATCACGGACGAATTGTCGCGCCGTCGACGCATCACTCATGACAACATCGCATGAACTGTCGTCTTTATGTATTTCTTGATATATTTGGTTTTCGCCCATTTGAGTGGTTTCCATTATATCTTGTACCGAATACATGGATGTTCCAGTAGCGTCTTTATTGCCGGAAATTTTATTGGCAAGTTGAATATCTGTCGACGAAATACTGAGACCGCCATCACACAAATCATTTTCTTCGTTCCTACGTTTCTCTAGGGATGCTACTTTCTCCCTTAAAGATCGGTTTTCATTTTGGACCTGTGCGCAAAGCAGTTCCAATTCCTTAATTTGATCTTCAAAATCCTTGACCTTGATTTCTAGGCCCTTTACGTAAGCATCTCGGCGTTGACGGAAAGCTCGTTGATTGTTTAAATTTTGCTTATGCTTTTTCTGATATATATGGAAAAAAAAAAGTTTAGGTTGATCCGACAAATGACATTCGATTTTCGGTTTTCAGAAAATGCAATAACATACATTTATAGGTGGTGTGGTCAATGGTTTACGCCCACGCCTGTTTGGCACAGGTTTCCCTATCGGAGTAGGTGGCATTGTCTCTATTGTGCACATTAAGAAGTAGAAAACGCGTTATCAATTATTTTATCCGTAAAAATTGGAAAATCTCAATTATTTTATCGTGAAAATTGGAAAATATCAATTTTTTACTTACGACAAGCTATGACGGGGAGGCTGTTAGTAGAGAACGAGTTTGCGGTAGTCGGCCAGGTAATTGATAATTCGGTACGATTGGAGGTTGAGGAAGTCATCGAAGTTCTATTAGGAATAGGTAGTTTTCTGGGAACTGCTGCGCCCATTTTCGACGACGGTTGGGTATTGTTAGACATATTTCATAAAAGAGAGGGTGAAGGGGGTGTTAACACGGGGAAAGAGGAGCAAAATCTTCTCCATTTCCTTGAGCACGCTTATATACACGAAATTATATCTTTGTCCAATAATTTAGGCACGTTACTGTCCAATAATTTAGGCACGTTACTGTCCAATAATTTAGACACGTCTATGGAATAATTGGAGGGTAAGCAACTGTACACCCGAGGTATGATTATATTGAAAGTATGCACATGCTTTCCAATCTTTACCTAAGTACATATTGTTGTTATTTCTGTCCAAGAGCAACAAAGAAAAAAAAAAGGTGCATAAAATAATGCATACCAACATTACAACATTACAATAGGGATCGTCATCTCAGTGTAACCTTAATTGACTAACAATGCTTTAGATTCTTTTGCTATCGTCACCTCCGTGACACATATCGTTTCTCAAAATTATTTTATGCCGATTTTAGTAACAAATATTTTGAAAGCTGGCATTATACATGATAGAAATACATGTTTACATTTTTTTATCAGCTAATCTCCATGAGATCTTGCGTTGGCAAATGTTACTATAAAAAAAAACGGTTAACCAAAAATCTCCTATAATGAATGGTAAACTCATTTATTTTGTTATGTCAATCATACTTATCTAGATTAAATTTGTGATAACTAAAAATTGAAATTTAGTTTCTTGATATTATTACTGTATATGCAATATACTGTAAAACGTTATAATATACTGTATATCAATATATTCGTATCTTTTTTTTTAACTATTTTTTTATAAAATTAGTTTATTAATAATAAATTTTTATGTGTTTATTAAATTAATGACATAAATAATTTTAAATAAAAAAATCTATATATTAAATAAATTATTTAATATAAAAAAATAGTCTCTTTTTATGCTTAAAAAATTTTTTTGATAATTTTTGAATTGTTTGTTTGTTTGTTTTTTTACTTTATTTTTATTTATTTATTTATTTTATTTATTTATTTATTTTATTTATTTATTTATTTTATTTATTTATTTATTTTATTTATTTATTTTATTTATTTATTTATTTTATTTATTTATTTTATTTATTTTATTTATTTATTTATTTTATTTATTTATTTTATTTATTTATTTTATTTATTTATTTATTTATTTTGTTTATTTATTTATTTTATTTATTTATTTATTTTTATTTATTTTTTATACTTCTTTTTTTTTGTTTCTATTACAATTAAACTTTTTTTTTTTTTTTTTAAAGTATTTTCTTGAATTTCTTCTTTTTTTCAAATAATTAATTTTTATTTTATTATTCTTATAATAATTATTTTACTTTTTTATATTATATATTATATTATTAAAAATCTTAAATATTTTAAAATAAATTAAAAATTTAAAAATTTTTTTAGTATATTTTTATTATTTTTTATTATTAACTATATTTATTATATTTATATTTATTTGAAAAACAAACAAATATTATTAAGTATATATAATATTTATATAAAAAAAAATAACTATTTAGATCTATAAATTAATAATACAATAAATAATACTTTCAGGTTTTCAAATATATATTTTTAGTTCAATATTTATAAAAAACAAATATGTAAAAATTTTTTTCTATATTAGATTTATCAGTTTTCTATATATATTGTATCTAAATATTTAATTTTTATTTGAATTTAATTAAAAATAGTATTTGTGATTTTTTTTTTTTATTGTAAGTTAAAAACAAATTAAAATAAAAAGATTATATAAAAAAAACTTTTGGTCTAACTCTTATAAAAAAAGTTTATATCTTTTTTATATATAATAGATTCTATAATACAATATAAAAAGATATTAATTAAAAAAAAACATAACTAAAAAAAAACTCTCACCTGTTCACCACTGATTTCTTGAAAATTTCCTTATATGGTAATTTTCTTGAAAGAAGCGCT